TTTATATCCAGTGAAGATAGAATAGAAGTTTGGAGAAGGTGTATAAAACTTTATACCTCGAACTGAAAAATCTTCTAACTTTGACAATAAGATATCCCAAGCATCTAACATCTTCATTCCAACTTGTACGACTTTTATTTTCTTAAGTTTCTGTCTACATTCTTGTTCTGAAACTATTGTTGCTCTTGGTTTGTTAAAGACAACATCCCATTCTTTCATGACATAACATTCTGGGCAGAGTCAACATAAATGACTAAACGTTTCAAATTCTCGACTGCTTTGTTATAGTCTCGAAATGGACACATATTTCTGAATGCTTGGAAGTCATAAAAATCTGAAACATCTATTCTGTACATTTTTATAAAAATAAAAAAATATATTTTTTTTATTCTTGACTTTGTTGTTGCATTTGTTCCATTTGTTGCATTTGTTGTTCTTGAGCTATTTGTTGTTGAAGTTGTTCTTGTAATACAATACTTTCACCAGTTGCATCTTCCAATTCGAAACTTTCTGCCGTCATTGACAAATACATAGGACATAAAAGTTTTACAGGAACAAAGTTTGCGTCAACTAAGGTTAAGTTTATGTTTGCTAAAGTGTTTGAGTTCACTAAAGCTGAAAACTCTGCATTCGAATGAACAATAGGCAAACCAGCAGAGAAAGTGTTGTTTATACGCATGAGTATCTTTTGGTCATAGTAGTTTCTGTCGACATTCGAATAGCACTTTGAACCTAAGTTTGAAACAATATATAAAATAGGTGTACTTAAAGTCAATGGAACAGACATTCCTTGTATGACACCTTTTCCTGTTATAGGAAACTGTTGGTAGTAAAAACCAGATATAAGTTTTGTATTATAGCTCATATCGTTTATACTAAACTCGGTCGGACATCCAAACATAATGAAACCTGCTCTAGTTGCAGCACATGTTACATCCGTCCTTAAAGTATTAAATAAGTCAACAAAACCTGTTGGTGGTATATCTGAGTAAGTATCTTCAAAGAAGTATTTTTTACCATTCACAACAACAAAGTCTTCTGGTGTCAAAAGAGCAAAACAGGCTTTAGTCGTCATTGTGTTTAAGGTTAGTTTACAATATCGTCCTTGAGGACTTTGTAAGTTTGTTGTTATAGAATTATATGACTCAGGGTTTTTAGTCGTAATAGTATAAACCACTATGTCTTCTGCCATTTACTTAGCAAGTAAATTTTAATGAAATGTTGTGGTCGTCAAATATTTTTATGACGTCTGGGAAACTATATTTTAAGTTCAACGTTTCACCTCCTTTCATAACGTATATCTTGTCAATGACATTATATGAAACACCACAGCAAGCAATGTCGGGTTCTATTTCTTTGATGTTTATATCGTCTGCCTCTGTCAAAAGTTTCAATAGTTCTTTCAAAACTTCATGAGGTGCGATGACATATGAGTTCACTTTTACAGGGTTGTGCTCAACCAAGTTTAACATTATACCCAAAGCTTGACAAATCTTCTCCTGAGTTTTAAGTTTGTCTTTAAGTTGTTGGTAGTCGTTTCGAATATCTGCAACAGAACTTAAGTCTCTGCTAACTTCAGGGTATGTTGGTTGTTCTTTTACAGGAACTATTGTTATACCATCTTCGTCTTCGTATGGTTTCCCCACTTCAACATCTCTTTCTTTGACATTGACAACAACACTTTGACTGTTTGTTTGAGTTGGTGAATTTAACTTCACATCTGCCACCGCCATTAAACCTTTTGAAACACTCACGCTTCTATTTTTCGGAAATGACATTTTACTTAGAATAAAAAGATGGACGTATTCGAGTATCTCTTCGAATTGAAGCAGAACAAAGTTTACACACACAAACAATACAAGTTCATTGACAGAATAGTTCTTTACACAAACAATGGAAAATGTTATAGAATAGCAGTCTTTGCTGAACCTAAATATTTTCATAAAGCAAAGAAAGTTGGTATAACTGAAATGGTGAAAGTTCTTGACGTTGACAAAAATATAACAACAAAACTGACCGATATTTCTAAAGGAAAGTTTATAATACAATTTATGTCAAAACTGGCGTACTGTCAATATTTGACGGAGAGAAGTCAGTTCAAGAACAACTTACTGACCTGCTGCCAAAATCTGCTCGATGGAAGCTGTCGTTATGCCAATCTGAGGAGCCCCAGCAGGTTTCATCGAACGAATCTTCAAAAGAGCATCTTCCGTGAAAAGTGCTATTGGTTTTGTAAACTTCTTTGCTCTCAGTTCATATGGACCGTCTCTGTCACCAGTATATTGTATTTGTACAGTACCAACAGTTGAAATACCACCCATAAAGTCTTCTGAGTCAGCAAATGGAATGCCAAGCCAAAAGTTTGAACGGTCTCCATTTGTATATTGAGTTTTTTGACTCCTGTATGGGTCCATACTTTCACATATGGCATAATAGAACTTTGCATTTCAGGGTTAATGGTTGTTGTGAAGTTGTTGTTAAAGTTCATAGCATCTAATGTCAAGTTGTATGACCTCATATCCTCAACTGTAGAATATTCTTCTCTTGGATAGTATTTGCCATCTATGTTTATATGGTATTTAATACCAGGGTTGTAGAAGCAAGAATAGTCATTTATAGTTCGTCTGAAAAGAACAAACATAGTATCTGCATGTTTCATTGCAGTTGTTAAGGCAATATCTGTTCTTGCACCTGGGTCAGCACTTTGGTTTCCAACTTCACCTGCAAAGTCTTTGACAGATATTTGGTGTATAGGGAACATAAGTGGAACTGCAATATATTTGGCAGCTAAAGCATTTGAAATATCTGGGTCCAACATATAGACTGCAAGTCTGCTTTCTATTCTCTTGCATTCAAACTTTTCGCATGTGAACTTAACTGGGTCCCAAGCATCTCCAGCAGCATTGAAATAATAGTTTACTTCAGTGTTGAAGTTTGAGAAACCAAAGTCTAAGTCAACTTTGTCTTTGCAAAATTCGGCGAATGACGTTTGATTTGCTCCCTTTACGTCTGTAAGAGTGAATGGGTCTTGCGTTGGTGCAATGACTAAGTTATTTTTGCTTGGAGTAAGTTCAATAGAAATTTTTCCTGCCCAGTTTGGCAAGTATCTTAAAAACCTGAAGATGAGGAAAGATGACAAAGGAACTCTAAGTTTCAGTTTTACTTTAGTGACAGCATTTCCATCTGAACCAGAAAGGTTAACATAAACTCCTGGAACGTTAGGGTCAAGTCTTCTTATTTTCTCAATAGTTGCATACTGGTCTGTTTGTTCTCTAGCTTGTGGTTGTACTGAGTTTCTCAAAGCGAACCATTCATAGTTTGCCCATGTTACTGTTTGAACTAAGTCAGAGTTAGAATATATCTTATATCCCATGAAAACTTCTGGAGCATATTGGTATCCGACATAGAAAATTCCATTGCAACCTTTCTTGTCAGACAACTTGGCAGAAGGTTTTATTTCAATGTCTTGTTCCACGTATAAGAAAGAGTTGTCAATAGAAATTATATGAAACCTGTCGCAAGCAATATCTACTGTTGTTGAAGAACCTTCTCCAAACTCACCTACGTTTCCATAAGAAACAGCAGTTGTATATTCGTAAGTTCCAGGAACTATTTCTGACCTTCTAATGGCATTATCGCATTCGTTATACCATTCGGAAACATTTCCATTCATAGCATCCAAAACTGTTGGCGTTATATTCTGAGCGGCGTACATTTCATATGAGTAAAAATATAGAATAGTTGGATTTATATGTCATAATAGAACCCACTCCGACCAAGCTTTACTTTCTTCCTGACTGAGTTTTTAACTCTTCTTTTTCCTTCATTGCCCTCTGCTTGAAGTTGTTGCATCTTTGCATTATGTTCATCTAGTATGTTGCAAATTTTCCATGTCCTTTTTGCCTTTTGGCTCTGGTCGCCCATCTCAGGTAACCTATATCCTAGAAAGAGTTTGTCATAGTCTGTATTTGAGTCGTCGCTTATTGTTTGCATGACTCTGTCCTGAGTTTCCGGTTCAAGCTCTTCAAACAGTGCCTGTCCATATGGAATAAGCTCGTTTCCAAATATATGTTTTTGTAGCCATTCTGGTTTTCTTTCCATGTTACCAACTATATCTTTTGTGAATGGGAAAGCTTCTACCCAATCTTTCAGTCTTGCGTCGTTTATTTCTGTAGTTGGTTTTATTTTGTCAAGGAACATGTTTTTCAATACTAACATTTCATTTGGTACTGTCCATTTGAGTTTTCTTAAATATTCATCCCTTCTCGGTTCATTGTCTGCAAAGTAAGTTTTTATGACATTTTGCAAACTTTCGTTTGCAAGGTCATGTACAATAGGTTCTCTTCCTTCTATCTCTCCCTAACTTTCTTTCTAAACTCTTCACCAAATATACCATCTTTATGGTTCTGTGTATGAGATAAATGTTCTAGAACGTCAGGTGTTATATTTCCATCAGCCATGTTCATTTCATACTGGTTCAAAATATCTGCATCTTTCATATCTTTCAATGGCATTAAAGCCGCGCTTAAAATACCAGCTACATCTGGTTCACCATTCACTTCCATTGCGTCTACAACTTCTTGGAATTGTGGTTGTAAGTTTATGAACCACCTATCTGGATTAGCTTTATGACCCCATCTCATTGTAGTTCCATCGTCTGCAGAAACAAAAGTAGGTTTGTTTCCATCTTGGCTAGGTTCTGAATGAACTTTAAACAATGTTTCATTTCTATATGTTTTCTTGAAATTTAACCTTTTATTTTCACCGAGTTCATCCGAAGATTGAACGTTAAATGCTCGTAAGTAAAAAGGGTTGTTGTATTTGTGTACATTTTCTTTCAGTACTTCCATTCTATGCTGGATATTTTCATCTGGTGCTGGAGTCTTTTGTATGTCGGCAAACATTTTTCGATATTCTTCTACTATGTCAGCCGAATTTTTTTTAGACTCTTGGAAAGATTCCATATTCACCTCATGCTCTTGTTGAGGGTCAAGATTTTTCGGCTGTTCCAAATCTTCATCTAGTTCTGTGAAGTTAGTTTCCAAAGGAGTGACTTGTTCGTTTCCTTCAGGCTCTTCTAGCTGTTGTTGCTGAACTATTTCTTCCATGTCTGGTTGTATCTGAACTTCTTCCTGTGGAGTTTCTTGTACCTCATCTGCTGGCATTTCATATATTCCGAGACCGTTTTCAACAATTTCCCTATCTACGTCATCCGCATTCATAAGCTTTTGTTCTTTCGTTCCGTCTCTATTTTTTACGCGTTTCATGACGAAAGTTGAATTGTCATTTAGCTCTGACATCAAATATCTCGGAGTAAATTCATCCATGTCATTTGGATGATATGCTATTAAATCATATCCCTTAGCGAGCTTGTATTTTCCAGGTTTGAGATTATATCCGTTTTGGTGCTGAGCCATAAAGCTAAATAGGTTCGGGTCAGTATTTCCATCCTTGAACTTTCCAATAGCTTCTTTATATCTGTCACTAAAGTCAACAGTATCTGGGAAACCACACTCTTCTTTAAGCATTTTTAAGAATTCTTGGTTTCCTTGTTCTCTACTTCTTTTATGTCCTTGCTCTGTTTGTGGTTGTTGTTGTGCAGGGTTTTGAACTGTTGGTTGCTGTGCTGGTTGTTGTGTTGGTTGTTGTGTTGGATTTTGAACTGTTGGTTGTTGTTGTGGTGCATGCCTGTGTCTGTGTCCATGTGACGATGTAAATGTTCTAGGTAGTCCTGGTGCAGGTGCTTCTCTTGGAGGGTTTGGTGGTATATAAGTTCCACCAGCTGGCACATATGTTCCATCTGCAGCGTAATGTCCTACCTGACTTTTCGTTTTTAAGAAAGCATTTACTAGGTCTGTTTTGGTCTGTTGTAACTCTTTTTCTTGACTTTCCACAACAGTTGCTCTAACGGCGTCATAGGCACTTTGAACTGCCTGTCTCGTTGCTGCATCTGTTATTTTCGTCATATTTTGTGCTACTTCTCTTAACTCGTTGTCGAAACCTTCAGACTTCAGTTTCTTTCCAGATGAGAAGTCGTTCACTTGTTTCACCTTACTATGAAGAGCTTCGAAGGCGTTCTTAAAGTCAGCATTTGTTAAAGCTTCATTTGAACTGTCTTCATCCGCTTGTATTTTTGTCCTTATTGACCCTATGAGTTGGGCTGCTTTAGCGTTGGCTTGGGCATCTAACCAGTCATTGTTAGCTTTTATATATTCTGCGCTTTTCATTGCCTTTTGCATGGCTGCGTCGTTATTTTTACTTTCTTGTGCTAAGTTTTCATACTGTACGGTTTGGTTTTGCAACTGTAAAAGTTTTTCTGCCTTTACATTTGCTTCAACTTCTTTTTTATACTCATCGCTATCCATATATGTCTTCAGGGCTTTTTGTTTTATTTCTTCATCTTTCAGTACTTTATATTGAGTAGTATGGTTTTTCAAATTTATAACATCTTGTTCCATTTTTGCTACTTCTGCTGCTTTTTCTGACACTTTTTTCGCATATTCCTCTGTACTTAGTTCTTTCAGTTGTTCTTCTTTCTTCTTTTTCTCTACGTTTAACTCATTGAGTTTCTTTGTGTGTCTGTCATATTCTAGTTTCTTTTCGTTTTCACTTATTTGCTTCTGTATGTCTATGTTTGACTTTTTGACATCTGTTATTTGATTTTTGAGTGAACTCAAATTCATTTGACTTTGAGGGTTATATGCTGTTCCGTCTGCAGCTCCACCATAGCCTGCCATTTTCGCTAAAAGTGCCGCTCTTAAACCTCCACTCTGTGCACCAACAACTCGGTTTAAAAGCATAGGGTTGCTTGACATTTGTTGCAACATAGTGGGGTCATTCAGCATTTGTTGTTGCAACTGTTGTTGTGGTGTCAGTTTTACTATTGGATGTTTCAATGCTCTCTTCCTCTTACGTATATTCTTACGTAGCTTACGTGGCATTTTAAGTGAAGTTAAAAAGCGGTTTTTGACAGATGTTTATTGTGACTTCTTCGTAAAGACTTTGTTAAGACTTCTTCGTAAAGACTTTGTCAAGACTTCTTCGTAAAGACTTTGTTGAGATTTCTTCGTAAATGACCCAAAAATATATTTTAGGTGAAGAGGTGAGATTTCACCTCTTTTTTCACCTCATTTCTCACCTCTTGAATTTTCATGAATTTCTTCGTAAAGACTTTGTTAAGACTTCTTCATCTAATTTCTCATGAACTTTCTTGTCTATGTTTTGTTGAGATTTCTTCGTAAAGACTTTGTTGAGATTTCTTCGTAAAGACTTTGTCAAGATTTCTTCGTAAAGACTTTGTTGAGATTTCTTCGTAAATGACCCTAGTAGTATATTTTTGGTGTAAATTTCATGAAAATTCAAGAGGGTGAAAAATTAGGTGAAAAAACAGGTGAAATCTCACCTCTTCACCTAAAATATATTTTTGGTGTAAATTTCATGAAAATTCAAGAGGGTGAAAAATTAGGTGAAAAAACAGGTGAAATCTCACCTCTTCACCTAAAATATATTTTTGGTGTAAATTTCATGAAAATTCAAGAGGGTGAAAAATTAGGTGAAAAAACAGGTGAAATCTCACCTCTTCACCTAAAATATATTTTTGTCTGATTTTACGAAGAAGTCTTGACAAAACATTTACGAAGAAGAAGTTTTGACAAAGTCTTTACGATGAAGTTTTGACAAAGTCTTTACGATGAAATCTTGACAAAGTCTTTACGATGAAATTCATGAAAATTCAAGAGGTGAAAAATGAGGTGAAAAAACAGGTGAAATCTCACCTCTTCACCTAAAATATATTTTTATTGAATTCTGTATAATATTCTGAGTAATATGACAGATGTTTATATAACACTTTCTCCGGTTTATAGGACCTCTCTCATATTCTATCTTGTCATATCAAAACTCATAGTCATGTTTGTCCTCTAAGACTTCATTTATACTAAACATCTTCAGGGCTAGAAGGCACGAAGTGCCTGGAAGCCCCACTACCTTTTTTTTTTTTTTTTTTTTTTTTTTTTTTTTCATATTTCCATCAAAAGTTCATAAGGTAAAAAATTTCGTTTATATTATTGCAAAATAAAATCTTCATTATCAAAATAATATTAAATGATAATATAATTTAAAAACAACTATTATTTAATAAAGTTTAATTGCCAAGGTTCATCTAATTTTTTGATTTTTAATGTTTTATGAATTTTATTTATCATGTATATATCTAATGAAGATTATATATGTCGAAGATAAGTACCTTAATATGTACGTAAAAATTAATGAAATTTATTTTGAATGTAGAACCGAGCAATTTTCAAATTTTGTGCTTTTTTTGAATTTTCTCGATACCAGATAAGTTGTGTTGACTAAATAATATATGGATACAAATGTTCTTATAGATGAATATATGCACAAAGTTTAAGAGGCCATTTTCTTTCAGAAACCGAGATTTGTGAATTTTTTCAAATTTTGTGCTTTTTTTGATATTGAAATTTCATTTCATTTTTTTGATGCATATCGATGCACCATGCCAACTTAAAGAAAGGCTATCTTATATAGATGCTATGAAAGCTGTCATTGATAACGAATGTCATGCAGGTTGTCCATATCAATTAAAAAAAATCCAAATTTAGGGGGAACAAAATTAAAATTCAGGTGCAGTGCAGATAAATGTGAAGCATGTATCTCATTTCTAAAGGATGATGAAGAATATATCCTAACAGAATATAATGGAACACATAATCACAATCAAATCAAAGATGAGACAAAGAAATACCACACATTATCACAATGCTATCGTCGGGTACTTATTAATTTTATAAAACAGGGGGTGATCCGAAAATGGCTCAAATTGAATGCGACAAAAAACTTGATCTGGATGATCCACTTAACAGGCCATCTTTTTTGAATGCATCTTCAGATCAAATGAAAACAATTCAGGAAAAAGGAAATAAAAAGATCAAAGGTATTCAAAAGTACGATGATAATCAATTCAAGTCAACTCAATTATTTAAGGGTATCAAAGAACAAGAGTCACCAAAAGATTTAATTTATTTCGATGTCGATAATTACAACAAACCAAAGAAATTAATCTTTTATTATGCTTCTTTCAAATTTCTGGACATAATCAAAATTGTGAAAGAGCATTTTATTGATGCAACCCATTCATTACTTGAATTTAAAATGTTGTTTTACATGATATCAGCCAAATTTCCAAATACACATGCATTCCCAATTTTTCAATTTGTCGTTTATCCAAACACTTCAGAAAATATTGCATTCTGTCTCAAGGCATTTTTTAACTGGGCAAAAGTAAAACCAAAATATTTTATGTCAGATTGTGCACAAGAAATCGAAAATGCGATTATCAACTCTTTTCCAGAAGTTATCCTTCATTGGTGTGCAGTTCATGTAATGAGGGCGTTCAGAAAAAATTTGAAAGATTATGCATTTGAGAGTTCAGACAAATTGATATTAGATACAAAAATGAACTATCTTGCATACGGCAGAAATGGCAAGAAAGAATGGATTGAACCAACGTTCAAAAAAATTCTGGAAATAGCCGAAAAATTCCCAGAATTTTCAAAATACATACAAAATCAATGGATATCAAACCAAGAAAGATGGACAGCCGCTGAAAGAGATGAAAATTTAGCTCTCACAAATAACATTTCAGAATCGATTAACAAAAAAATTAAATATTACTACTTTGGCGGAACAATTTTCATGAGATTTGATCGATTTGTGATGAAATTAATCGATTTTATCGTTCCTTCATTTTATTACAGAATTTCTCAAGATATAAGGCTCAGAGACAAAATTCCAAATCCGTTGCCATCTGAAAAAAAGCCAAAAAAGTCTACAATCAGACTGGATACAGAAAAATGTATAATGCTCACTGATAAAATTAAATCGTTAATAGTTAACTCATCAGCAAACTTAAATACGCTTCAATTGGGTTTAGATGACCTACTTGATAAAGTTGTCAAGGCAGCAAAGGTTCAAAAACGAATGACCCAGTATTTTTCGAAATTAAGTATCCCAATGGAAATCAAGCTTAGTATTCTCACGCAAATTACAGAATTTGGATGCAATACCCCTCAATTCATTGTTGAGAATGCCAAGTCTTTTCAAGATAAAATTATTACAGATTTCCACCTTCAAATTTATACAACATTATAAAAATTTATGAATAAAAACTTGATATAAAATAACATTTTTATTTTTACTAAGAAAAAAAAGGTTTTTGATAATAAATTTATTTTATTTCGAAAAAGTAGCAATAATCGTAAAAGGGTATTGATAGGCTTGCTAAAGTAACTAATTTTAGCTGTCAAATACTTTTGTATTTTGAAGTAAATTAGTATAAATTTGTTTTTACTTTTATTTCGAAAAAGTAGCAATAATCGTAAAAGGGTATTGATAGGCTTGCTAAAGTAACTAATTTTAGCTGTCAAATACTTTTGTATTTTGAAGTAAATTAGTATAAATTTGATATTATTTTAACTCCCTTTGAAAACCTCAATTTTCCATACAGAGGGAACGGGAATAGCATCCAATATTCCCTGAGAATGGTTGCGCATTCTCAGTTCCCTCTATATTTCGAACGAAGCTCTCATCGGTCTTTTTTTAATACTAAACGTTTTTTTTCCTGTCACTTTTAGCTAAAATTTGGGTTTGCCGCATATTAATTAAGTAAGAAATTCGATATTCATATGAAAGTAAACTTGAATTTGAATATAATAGCTCTAATTATTATGAATCTAAACCATATCACATCGAATTAAATTCAGGCTATTATTTATTTGAATTATGGGGATGTTCAAGCGGTTATGAAAATGGAAATGAAAACTATAGAGTATCAAATGGCGCCTATGTAAAAGGCTACTTAAAACTTAATACGAAAAGAGATTTTTATCTCCATGTTTGTTCACAAGGGAAAGCTAGTATGTCAAATTATTCATACGGAGGTGGAGGTCCTGGACAATTTGGTGGTGGAGGGGCAAGTGATATTAGACTTCTACCAGGTGATTACGCTAACTTTACATCATTGAAAAGTCGTATTATCGTTGCAGCAGGTGCAGGGGGTCCAGATACTGGAGATTTAGGCGGTCCTGCAGGATCCCTTGAAGGATTTAACAGCAATAATAATCATGGAAACGGAGGAACTCAAACATCCGGTGGGCGTGGATATGTCAATGGATCTTTTGGAAAAGGAGGAGGAAATCCAAATAGAATTGATGCATTAGGAAATGGATCTGGAGGTTCAGGATATTTTGGTGGAGGATCATCAACAATAATCAATGATTATGGTGGTGGTGGAGGAAGTAGTTTCATCAGTGGTTATCCAGGATGTGTTGCGATAACAGAAGATTCAACAGAGAATTCGATCAAATTTCGAACAGGTGATTTCACATCAATTCACTATTCAGGATTAAAATTCGAAGATCCTATTATGATTGATGGAAAAAGTCAAATGCCATCACCAAATGGTACTAATGAAACAGGTCATTCTGGCAATGGCTTCATCCGAATTATTAAATATCCTATTATTTCTGATACATGTATTCAGAATATTTACCGCATTAATTTATTTTCATTTATTCTAGAATTTTCAATTTTCATATTGTCAACTGATTCATAAAAAATATTTTTTTTCATTTTTATGAAATTCATTTATATTTATTCTGTTAACGTCAATAAAGGTATTTTACTTAAGGATTCTGATGGAATTTCTACATAAATTACTAAAATAATAGCAATCGCAGCATAATTATTTAATTACAGGATATTTCTTGAAAAATAGAAAGTTCAATTCTAAAAATACTTGATTTTGAATATAATGGTATTAATTACTATGAATCAAAACCATACCCAATCGAATTATCCAAAGGATATTATTTATTTGAATTATGGGGATGTTCCTCTGCATTTTATCCTCAAGATCCAGTAACTTATCCATCTTCTCAAGGTTCATATGTTAAAGGTTATATATTATTAAAAGCTAAATATGAATTTTATCTTCATGTTTGTCATAAAGGGGAATATGGTATGTCAAATTATGCTTATGGTGGCGGTGGTCCTGGTCAATATGGTGGTGGAGGTGCTACTGATATAAGACTTCTACCAGGGAATTACGATAACTTTACATCATTGAAAAGTCGTATTATCGTTGCAGCTGGTGCAGGAGGTCTAGATTCAGGGGACTTTGGAGGTCCAGGTGGAACTCTTGAAGGATATGATAGTCAATATAATCATGGAAAAGGAGGTACACAAATTTCTCCTGGTCAAGGATACGTTAATGGACAATTTGGAAAAGGTGGAGGAAATTCTGGTTTAATAGGTGGATCCGGAAATGGATCAGGAGGATCTGGATATTTTGGCGGGGGTTCTTCTGATATTATTGATAATTATGGCGGTGGTGGAGGTAGTAGCTTCATCAGTGGTCATGAAGGTTGTGTTGCAGTAAATGAAGATTCACCAGAAAATCCAATGACATTTCGATCAGGAAAATATATCTCTGTTCATTATTCAGGATTGAAATTCGAACACACACAAATGATTGATGGTCAAAGTCAAATGTTTTCACCTAGTGGAAGTCTTGAAACAGGTCATTATGGCAATGGTTTCATTCGAATTACACAATTCCCTACATTCATTAACTCTTGTATTCAAAATATTTATTTCTCTTTTCTCCATTCTTTTATTTCTGGATTTTCTTTATTTATCTTTTCTTCTTATTAATATTAATATTATCTATAACAAAAATAATATCATATACACTCTTTGAAGGTAAATCGAATAAATATTATTGGCCATATATCTGAGTCGATATAAGTTCAAATTGCTATTGAAATTTACCACTTATTGAGATGGCGAGCGCTTTCGCAAATTTTGTTCCGCTCTCAATAATGAACAAGATATCCAAATAGCTCAAGCAATTAAATTTGCTATTATTTGATTCAGGAATAAAAATTTTACCAATTTGTGGATAAATCCTTCTCGAATAAGAGTTAAGTCTTCATACTGAATATGTAAATGATGATACAAAAATTTCTTAAAGTCGATAAATGTTAACAGAATTATTCGAAAAAGAGCTAGAAATCCTAACAAAATAGGCGGATCTGAATAATTTTCAAGTAATTGTAAATTGAACAATATCAGTTAAAATTTCTCATCCTTTTCAAAACAAACTAGATTTTGAATACAATAGCCCTAGCTACAGTAATTTTAAACCATATCATATTGAGCTCAATCAAGGATATTATTTGTTTGAATTATGGGGCTGTTCAAGTGGTTTTCTTGAGGGCAACCCATTATACGTTTGGTCTGGAGGTGCTTATGTTAAAGGTTATCTGAAACTTAATTCAAAGAGAGAATTTTATCTTCATGTTTGTTCACAAGGACAAAAAAACATGCAATATTATTCATACGGAGGTGGAGGTCCTGGACAATTTGGTGGTGGAGGTGCAAGTGATATAAGACTTCTTCCAGGTGATTACGCTAACTTTACATCATTGAAAAGTCGAATTATCGTTGCGGCTGGTGCAGGGGGTCCAGATACTGGAGATTTAGGCGGTCCTGCAGGATCCCTTGAAGGATTTAACAGCAATAATAATCATGGAAACGGAGGAACTCAAACATCCGGTGGGCGTGGATATGTCAATGGATCTTTTGGAAAAGGAGGAGGAAATCCAAGCAAACTTGATGCATCTGGAAATGGTGCAGGAGGTTCAGGCTATTTTGGAGGTGGCTCATCTAAAAATAGCCATGATTATGGCGGTGGTGGAGGAAGTAGTTTCATCAGTGGTTATCCAGGATGTGTTGCGATAACAGAAGATTCAACAGAAAATTCGATCAAATTTCGAACAGGTGAATTCACATCAATTCACTATTCAGGATTAAAATTTGAAAAATCATTGATAATTGATGGAAATCATCAAATGCCATCACCAAATGGCACTAATGAAACAGGTCATTTTGGAAATGGTTTCATCCGAATTACTTCATTTTCTTTAGATGCAAATTCATGCGTATTAAATATTTATTCATCATTTCTTAATATGTTTCTTCTTGAGTTTTCTATTTTCATATCATCTTTTGAATAAACAATATTATATGATAACATACTGACTTATTCATCTAGAGATATTTTATATCTTCACCTTAATTGCGGCTCATAAAATCTTCATATATAGAGATATTTACATTTGAAAAAAAAACCGCGAAAAAAATCGGAAAAAAGTGTATCTTAAAATCTGACATCGGAAAAAAGTGTATCTTTTCAATATGATAATATTAAAAAGTGACAAAATGTTTTTATTAAATCTAATTTTTGAACAATTAATAAGCGATGGTAATTCTATATTTAAAAATACATATAGGAATAATTTAATTGAGTGTTCAGTTAGTGGATCTTCATTCCAATACATAAATGGAAGCCAACAAAAAACTAAACCTGAATACGCTTTTGATCAAATGGACAAACACTATGATTGGTGTTCAAATTGTGGGAAAAACAAATCAGATCTTCCATGGGCGATTTATTCCATTAAAAATCACATGATCAAATTATCTGGATATTACCTCAAAATTGGCTGTTGTGATATAAATTATCCATGTTGTTGTATCGATGATAATGATTGTTGTGAATGTTGTTTGTACAGTTGGTCATTACAAATCTCAAATGACAACAAAACATGGAAAACAATTCACAAAGTTGAAAAAGACTCAGAAATGAGAAGATGCAAAGATAAAACATATAAATTTAGTGAAACATACAATACTAAGTATGTTCGTCTAATCCAAGATGAATCATGTCCAGGAGATCCTCCATGTATTGCATTGAACAAAATCGAACTTATTGGTTCCATCGAAAATGAAGATGGACTTATATTCGAAGACCAAGAAAACGAAGAAGATGATGTCAGTATCATTGGTCATATATCAAAGAATAAAATGTAAACGATAGAAGCATGTGATAATTAATAACACAATAGAAGCAACATGTGTAAAAAAATTAACTTATCTTATCTTTATTTTAAGGCTCCGGTCCCACCCTCTCAATTTTAAAAGTTTTAATATCTCCACCAATATGAGTTTTTGATACTTTTATTTTAGTACATAATATCATTATGTAATACACTATAGTATAGTATATTTAAACTGAGTATTACTATTATAGTTCATCTTATCTGAGAATTCGGTATTTTGACAAAATTTCAACTTTGACCGGTAAAACTATTTATAATCAAAAAAGCCCACGACATTTTATAGCATATTAGTGATACATTATATTGTTATTAGTAAACTTGATTTACAATCTCTTCTAGATGAGTAATTTTTTTTTTGAAAAAATCTGACAAATCACTTTTTGACAGAATCTAGATATTTTTGATTTGTGAAAGTTTTAATAATATGATAAGGTTTATATATGCTATCATAATATAATAAAATCATATAATGTTACATTATCGCTATATATGTCGAATATTAAAAAATTGTATATTAACATTTTTTGTCATATCTTGATAATAAAGAAAAAACTCTCAGTTCCCCTTCGACAAATTGTTAGAATGCAACTAAAGTTTATTTTGATATAGTGAGTTTGCTTCTAAAAAAATATATGAAAGAAGAATTAGATTTGCAAGACCCCTATAAAAAACGATTTTTGCGTCGAGAATAACTTCATGCACGATTAATTGATATGATAATAAAAATCATATATGATAATTACTTAATATAGGCAACAATATTGTATTAATCACTTTTTGTCAAAACGGTTTTTCGATAATTGAGTATTCAATTTTCCAAAAATCCATTCAATAATTTGATTTATAATTCAACGTATAAGAAAAAACTCTCAGTTCCCCTTCGACAATTTGTAAAGAAAATTATATAGTTTCTGTCGACACTATTTGTATATTCTACCTTCTTCGGTATTTCGAAGAATTAGGTTTGCAAATTTGATATTTTTGATGTATTTTTTCAAATTGAGAGTATTTTTGACGATAGAAGTAGGTGTTTTTTGAATTACAATTTTATATTGATGTGCATGATAAAAATTTGAACTTATATTATGGTAACATAGTATAAGTCATAATGTATTAATATACAAAAGATATTATCAAAAAATTCCTTTCCAATATGTATAAACAAATCGATTTTTTAAATTAAATTTAAACCTTAAACTCAATATATTAAAAAGTGACATTATTTTAATTAGAAGTACAAAAATCCATAGTCATAGAATTATCAAATGATTGAAAATTGTTATAATTGGGCACATTATACTCATTTATGAATTTACTATACTATATACTTTGCAAATTTAAAAATCCAAATTTTCAATTTTTAAAATATCATTATTTATCATATATCAAATAGTAAAGTTAGTATATATCATGTTTAAAACGATAATATAGTCAAATTCGAAAATTTTAAAAATAGATAATATTTAATTTTTACAAAATATTGGTATATGTGCAATCTATTGGTATATTTTTACGAATCCGAACAGAATAGGTGATGAAGGGAATGGAGGAGGAGGTTCGGGTTATTTTGGTGGAGGATCATCTAGTATTATCAATGATTTTGGTGGTGGTGGAGGAAGTAGCTTTATAAGTGGTTATCCAGGATGTGTGGCGATAACAGAAGATTCAACAGAAAATTCGATCAAATTTCGAACAGGTGAATTCACATCAATTCACTATTCAGGATTAAAATTTGAAAAATCATTGATAATTGATGGAAATCATCAAATGCCATCACCAAATGGCACTAATGAAACAGGTCATTCTGGCAATGGCTTCATCCGAATTATTAAATATCCTATTATTTCTGATACATGTATCCAGAATATTTACCGCATTAATTTATTTTCATTTATTCTAGAATTTTCAATTTTCATATTGTCAACTGATTCATAACAACACAGATAAAACTAACAATATTAGGAGGAATTATTTATTATCACATATTATTTATTCTATCTTTCTTATTATTTAAGACCAAGAAAACGAAGAAGATGATGTCAGTATCATTGGTCATATATCAAAGAATAAAATGTAAACGATAGAAGCATGTGATAATTAATAACACAATAGAAGCAACATGTGTATTGTCTTTATTTTAAGGGTGCACTTACCACTTTCTGACATTCTCTCAAAATTCTTGTTTAAGGTTTTATTTTCTATGCCTCTCCACGCCCGTATATCTCTTTTTGAGAGAGTGTCAGAAAGTAGTAAGTGCACCCTTAAAAAGTTTCTTTAATATTATTAAATTCTTAACTATAGGAAATTGATTTTAAGTTTCTATCTTCTATACATATTTATATTTACCTACATTCTAGCCAGCTATGATTCTATATCATATCAACGAAATAAGAAAGACAAATAGGAAATAAAGAAGATATTTCATTCCAATTATTACTTTAATGGACGTTAAATGAAGATTTATTTAATGTTGTTAATTTCCATGATATAAAATCTCTTAATCCTGAAATACATTATATAGCCTGAGAATGGATGGGGAAGGATATGTGGTACTTGTGTGGTTAATGATGTACCTTGGAGTGAGTTGAGTGATTGCTCTGGGAATATGATGGAGAATCAAAATTAACTCAAATGTCTAAACATCTATTTTAGTTGTGCCTTTGATATGAAATAAAACAGGAAAATGAAAATTGACTATAAATTTAATATATGGAAATTTGATGTAATTTTGAATTGAAAATGATCGTTATTAATTTTATCGATAAAATTAAGCCCAATTCTTGTGGATCCTAAAATTTAATTACCAGCAGTTATCGTACTGTGTTTTGTAGATTTATATAAAAATTCATCTCTTTTCAAATTATTTAATTTTTTGAATTCAAGCAGTTACAAATTCATCGGATTGTAAATTTGAATATGAATATACTAGTTCATCTTATTATGAATCTAAACCAAACTACGTTAGATTAAAAAAAGGATATTACATTTTTGAATTATGGGGATGCTCAAGTGCATTCTATAAAGACCAAGTTGCATACGTCCCTCCTTCACGAGGATCATATGTAAAAGGGTATCTTAAATTAAATTCTCCAACAGATTTTTATCTGCATGTTTGCTCTCAAGGCCAATATGGATCTCAAAACTATGCATATGGAGGAGGCGCTCCAGGCCAATATGGTGGTGGAGGTGCCTCTGACATCAGACTTCTTCCAGGCAAATACGATAACTTTACATCATTAAAAAGTCGAATTATAGTTGCAGCTGGTGGAGGGGGTCCAGATATTAATGGCAAAGGTGGTCCAGGCGGTTCCATTAATGGATACAATAGTGAAGGAAATTATGGAAAGGGCGGCACTCAAAGATCAGGTGGAATTGGAAAAGTCAATGGCAAATTTGGACTTGGCGGTAGAAACCCAAACAGAATAGGTGCAGCTGGAGATACAAATGGTTGTGGTTCAGGCGGTTCTGGATATTTCGGCGGTGGTTCGTCTAATGTTGATTCAGATTATGGCGGTGGTGGTGGGAGCAGCTTCATCAGCGGTTATTCAGGATGTATTGCCATCACTGAGAATTCTCAAGAAAATTCGATTTCCTTTCGATCGGGAATATATGAATCAGTTCATTATTCTGGGTTGATATTTGAGAAACCAGAAATGATTAATGGTACAAGCCAAATGCCAGCTCCAAATGGCACGATTGAAATAGGTCATTTAGGAAATGGATTTATTAGAATAACTATTTTAAATTTTAAAATTGTTTCATGTATGAATTATTTGTATTCATCAATGTATTCATTTGTATTTACATTTTCTATATTATTAATTTCAAATTAAAATTTATGATCATTTTAAATACCAAAATAATTTTTTCTGAGGGCTGATGAATGATTGCATATATTAATGAATGGCTAAAATGTTTATTATCAAAAACTGTTAATGTCACTTTTTATAATATCAATGATTCAAAAAAGTTTAACCACCTTCAATAAAAAACTTACAAAACTTATTTCAAAATGTTTGTTCATTTTACTACATTTAATTGTTGCTCGCAAGCTTACCCAAATAAAAACCGTAAAAGTGACTAACATTTTGTCAAAATGTTGAAATAGTAATAAT